TTTCGCTCCCCCGGACGGGCACGGGCGCCCCGCGTTTGGCGGATCGTTAGCACGGAGGCAGCCCCTTTGTGAAAAACTCGCATTTGGCCAATTCATCTCACCTGCTCCCCAGAACGGCTGCGGTCGCCAGGGAGCTCTGGAAGTCGCCTCGTCCAGCCCCCTGATGGAGCAGGACCGCGTCCAGGCTGCTCCAAGGACGGAGACTCCACAGCCTCCTTGGGCAACCTCTGCCAGTGCTCGGTCGCCCTCGCAGTCACAAAGCGTTTCCTGATGTTCAGAGGAAACCTCCCGTGTTTCAGTCGGCGCCTCTCACCTCTGGTCCTGTCACTGGCTGGCACTGCAAAGAGCCTGGCCCTCTCTTCTTCATACCCTCCCCGCAGGTGTTTATACACCTGAGCTCCCCCCCCGCCCCGAGCCTCCTCTTCTTCAGGCTGAACAGTTGCGGCCTTCCCTCATAAGAGAGATGCTCCAGCTCCTTCATCATCTTTTGTGGCCCTTTGTTGGACTGTCTCCAGTTTGTCCATGTCCCTCTTGTACTGGGATGCTCAGAACTGGACACAGTACTGCAGGGGTGGCCTCACCAGTGCTGAGCAGTGTCACCTCTTTACCCAGACCTGCTTCTCCTGCTCTCTGTGGAGCTGAGCACGGACGGGTGCTTCCTGGCATCCTTACAGTCTGGTCTGTCAGTGCACTCCTGCGAGGAAAGGTGGCAGCATGTTGTCTCCTTCTCTGGGCCTCTGGTGGTGTCACTGTCCAGTCCAGAAAACTCCGGGTGAGCATGGAGCATTGCTTGGCTACACTGTGCTGTAGCCCCACAAAAGGTGGCACGAGCTTGCCCTCCTGGGAAGCAACGTTCTTCCTTTAGTCTCACGTGGCCACACCACGGACCCACTGGCGGAGGCATGGCTAGGCGTGTGTGGCGGGAGCATGCCGGGCCGCCCCATCACCTCGGAGTCAAACAAGGAGGCAGAGCATCTTTCAGCAGCTCTCCCTGCCACCTCGCATGCTCTGTACTGGGCCCATCAGTACCTCGGGAAGGCAGTGCCAGCTTCCCTCTACTGAAAAAAGAATTACAGCCCAGGGAACAATTCAAGAAGAGCCGCCTCAGTGGAAATGAATAATTCTGTCGTTCCTTGGTTGCGAGGTGCGGCACAGCCAATTTCCATTTTATTAACTCAGATAAAAGTATAAACTCAGTCTTTTTATTAGTACTATTTATTGCGAACGTTGAGATGTCATGTAGTTTTGAACTAAGAGATGAACTGATCAGATAGGTAAGTCATGTAATTAATTGGAAGACCCTTCCGTGACAATTATATATATCCAAGCCATTCAAGTGAGAAAATGCAACCTTGAAAATGAAGTAGAGAGTTTAGTCATTGCCGAACCATACAAGAATATGTGTATTTAGGTATTTTACACAAAGGAAACCTTGTTTACAGAAAAGAGACCTTGTTGATTATCAGATACAAACAAGTGCTTGTGAAATATAGTCTCTTATGGAAAGTATTCCATTTCTTGGTGATTTAGAGACCTTCTTTCAGCTTGGAGTGCTCTCTTTCATATTCACAACTTGAAGCAGATAGTCCATCATCTAATAAAAAAGAGAAAAATATTATTTATGGACCAGTCCTGAAAAAAGTAACTTGCTAAGTTAATAAGCCTAATATCTATCTGCTCTGTGGATTCACACAACAAACACATTCCTAATAATCTTTCCAAAACAGACCTCATTTGTCTTGGTTTGCATAATAACCAGCTGCTGAAGCACAAGGAAAGGCATTCTCCCAAATAATTCTGTCTGCCATCTCATTTATATAGTGTCTCATTAGTGTTAAAAAGCCAAGTGATAGAAACAATTTAAACCTTATTTTCCAACTTTTCTACACTTAGGCCAACCTGCAGATGAGGTTTCCTCTGATCTTTAACTACTTTAACTGTAATTTATTCACAGCATAAAGTGCAGGCAAGATCTTAATTTGCCTGCTATTAACTGAAAACAGAAGTAAATAACTCAGGTGCACCACCCCAAGGCTAATTCCCAGACCTGTCACGCTTATCTCTCTGGCTTTTTTGACTATTTGTGCGTTACGGCACTTTCCCTACTCTGGGTGAGTCTTTTATAAAGAGTTTCTTTGTTCTTGAGAAATGTACGGCACGGTGTGAGCACTAGTGATGAATGATGCTCTGCACGAATCTGCGCTAGGAAGCAAGACCCTGAACTGAGTTACCTGAAGTACACATCTCTATTTACTCCTGCAGCCTTTAGCTTTGGCGATTTCTGACCTTAAATTGAAAATTTTAAAAAAAGAGTCCATGAAACAAAGTCCTCATAGTTCCTCTCTTCCCAACACAGCCTGTCTTTGCTTCTGCACCGTAGATGGGAACACAGGCTTGCACACAGAGATGCTCCTTGTGGTTAGCACCGCTGCAAGGGCGTGCTCGGGCTATGAGAATCACAGCCCCATCGATGGCGACATGGCCTTGGGACAGCTACTCCATCGGCTGGCAGTACGGCTCACGAGTGACCTTTCTTTTGGTCGCATTTCAATACTTCAATCAAAGAGGCCATTCCACGGGAACGGGCAACCCGCTGTAAACACGGTGTCCGGTCCCTCCTAGAATGAGTTTGTATTTTGAACTCAAACACAATATGGAGGCTGCCTACATCAGCTATTTGTGTCCAGCGGTAGGAGAACACAGGTTAGGTACTACTGTCACGATTATGTTTTCCTGCGAGGTGGAAACCACGTAACTGTCGAATGCTGGAAATCAAAGCTTCTCCGGCAAAATGAGGTTCTGCCAGTCCCCATATATCTTAGTCACATGGAAGAACGTGGGTTTTTACTAATCATTGGAGAAACCTGGCCATTGAAGGCAATAATCTCATTATGCCACACGTATGTTCAACATCGGACCACAGAAACGTGGGTATTGCTTTAGGGTAAAAGTACACACATATGGATATGTTTCAACTTACCGGAGGCAACTTTCAGCCTTCCTAAGTATGATTTATTACCGGATACTTTTAGAAGTCAAAACATTTCCCTCTTTACATAGCATAATGGAATTTGTTCATCTAATGTGATTACAAAGCTGCACAGCTGAAGATGAGATAACTAGTCTCCTTCTGAGATAACATTAATATCACAGTTATTATAAGCATCACTGTCACAAAGCCACAGCCAGAAAGAAATCTATGGACAGCGCTCATACCAGACTTATAGCCAGACTTAGGGCTTAATTTAATCGGTAAATTTTTACCCATATTCAAGTCAAACCCAAAGTATTCACGGACTTCACTGCACCAGGATTTCAGGAGGGAGACAAGGCTGAAGTTAGCCCAGGAATATTAATTAACTACATAATATTACAGTAGAATATGGGAAGACAAAAATCTTCCCATTGATGTCTTTAGGGGGGTGTATTAATCTTTTTATTCTGTTTCAATGTCACCCAGAAGGATTCTGCAGCTACATCACCATTACTGTACCTGCTGCATTACAATGAAAGGAGTTTTCTAGTAAATTCTGCGATTACGTCATTTAGACCCTAGTTACTTTCTGTAAAACCTCGCTGATATCCTTCTAAGTGTATTTTACAGGATTTTCCAAAAGAATAGTGGTGAATCTGTTCCAAAGTCTTGTTACCCTGTGAAATAGTGCTAGTCAGTACAGTAACGCGAGGGAAGAAGAGGTGGGTCCTAGGCACGCGTTATAGCTTATCGGTAGCCACAGACTCATTTTGCAAGACCACAAATGACCACAGGAGCGGCCAGCACCATCAGCTGGGGAGGAAGACTTGCACGAGCCAAAGACAGAGCTGGGAACAAAAGAAAGTCTCCAAGCCCGTTGCTCTGTGCGCTGATGGGCAGCACCTCCCAAGCCAGACGAGGTAATGCCGGCTGGAACGGCCGCTGAGGGAGACAGTCAATGCGCTGCGGCTTTACGCACCATGCCCTCTGCCTTCTCCTGCCCTCCGCACTCACGCCCGCTTTTCACACTGGCTTGCTTGCGCCCAGCTAGCGCAGGGCTTGGTGCTGATGCGGTCACCTGAGCGTGAAGCGCTAGAAAAGAAAAGAATGGAACAGCCGAGCGAGTCTGAAGGGCACCCAGACACTGAAATCTGCTTAATGCTTGCTGCGTTTATGCCCAGTAGCAAATTAATTCATAAAGAAATCCAATTTGTGAGTGACAATCTGTAATCAAGAGCAGAGCCTTACTCTACCGAATGCCTAGTGCACGAGATGCGCTCCTGCTACTTCTCCTGACCACCTGCAAGTCAGAGGAAGCTGATGTGCTGCTGTAAAATGGAATTTGAATAGATGGAGTGTTTTTACAGGTTTTAGCTTACTTACATCTTTCCAGCTGCTATCGTCATCTGTCTCCCAGGTGTTCCTGGTATACCAGGGAAGCCCTCCTTTTAAAAAGTGAGCACTTTTATTTTCATTTCCTTCCAGCAGCCGTAGCAAGTATTTTGAGATTTCCTCCCACTGCAGATAGTCTTCCAGCTGCTTGATATTTTCAGGTAATGCTGAAAACGGGGTCTTGTTTTCTTCTTCAGAAACATAAGGAAAGTCTCCAGTGCTCTTCTTCCCCATTAAATGTCCTGCAACAACAATGACAGTAGCATGCAACCAACCCAAACAGGTATGGATTTGATTGTTCAAACATCAGCTGGATATTTGACTGATAGCGTGGAGGGGCGGGGAGGGAAGGGGTTGGATGATGTCAAAGTTGAAGCAGAACGGGGACTGGAGATTTTGTCACAGTGTCACACACAATTGATTTCCTCTGTCTCTTACGCTACATTGTCAGGGAAAACATTGCTGCTATGGGGCAGAGATAAGCGAGCATTTTGCCTGCAGCTAGGGAGAGGCACCTGGTAAGATTTGCTGGAAAGCAGATGGAGAAGCTGTAGGTTTTAGACTTTCTCTGCCTGCACATGGGATGTGGGAACTGTAGCGTGAGCCTATCATCTTCCAGGGCCCTTCTAGGAGCTAAACTGGATCCACTTTTGACACACCATGCTTTACTGTCATCAAAATGAAAACATAGTTGGCCTTAAGCCGCAAAGGAGGCTACTGGGAAGGGAAGGGGAAGGGGCAGCACCCGAGAAGGCTGAGCACCCCGGGGCCGGCTGGGACCGGGGCTCCCCAAGGTGTCGGCTGCGCCCTGGGGTGCCGGGGAGCT